TATAGTTGGGTTTAGGAGGCTTTACTTTTTGTTTGTTGTTTTAATATATGCTTATTGTTGAATTTTATGTTTATGTCTGTTTTGTTTGTAAACTACCCACAGTTTACTTGCTACTAAATGGGCGGAGTAGAAGTTCATTCAATCAGTCAATCAATCAGCCATTCCAGCACCAGGACCAAATTCTGCTCATCCATATTAACTAGGAAAATGATAAAGTATGTAAATTTATTCATCCCTTCATTTCCTTTTGCTTTTACTTCTTTCCTTGCAATTGAAAATTCTAAGCACAACTTAGATTTTGTGCTGATTCTTATTTTACTGATCACTAACCTCTTTAAATACCAATTATAAGCAAACAGCCAGTAGCTGTAAATGAAAAGTAAACACTGCTATGTCAAAATATGCTTTATTTCAACATAGGGTGATGGACCAGATGAGCTGGGTCACTTTAAGGAACTGCTTCGAAGTTAAAACAATGTCCTTTTTAATAAATTAAAAAAAATTGGTCAGGGGGGGGGATTGCAGCTTTTGAAAACTTGACATTTTCCCAGTGGGGGGAAAAAAACTGAAGAACTAATGGGAGAAAAGGCATGCCTTTATTTTTAATAAATGTTCATGCTGATTACCATGACTGATTTGAGTGTCATTTTGGTGAAATAAGTGAGATAGAGATTCACTGCAAAACAGGTAGTTAATACTTCAATTCCGAGGGTAGAAAATGGTCATAGAAGAGCTATGTAAGATATGACACATTACCCCCTAATCTAAAAACTGAACTCTTTTAAAATTGCCATTCACTCGCACGCCCATCCCCACCATAAACTTGATGGATGAATTTGTATTGATGATGTCCACCAACTGTAAGGCTTTGTTCAGACGTAAATCAGTGACTTGGGAAACAGCCCATTTTGATTCAGGTTGATTAAGATGTTGCCTACTTCAACTTGAGTCTTCAATTGTGATTTGAGAGTTGATTTTATAACTGTAAAATTACAAATAAGCACCATACTCCTTCCTTCCTTCTTTTTAATCAAAATTGCTGGTAAGTTTTTTTTTATTTCTTAGGATAACTAGATGAAGTTTGTAGGAACAGTCACTCATTCTCAAGGCTACTTTGTTGCAGTGGAATAAATATGAAACAATTTGCGGAAAAATAGCATTTACATGTTGGGGGTTCCAGAAAAAGACATTCTAAGTCTTTCTAGATTCCTGAGGGACTGTTGTTACGAAGACGGTACACAGCACAGAGAATAACCACCATGTGAAATTTTGAATGTAACAAGTGCAGTGATTTTAATTTTTATTTATTTATTTATTTACTTATTTACTTATTTACTTACTTGTTTATTTATTTATTAAAACCAGTTTGTTAAAATGGCATGCTATGTGTGCTTCCCTCACCCTCTTGATGGTATTTTTGGCACTTTTTATGAAAGTGGCATATGCTCTTTTGCAGGATTCTTGCCTAGAAACACTAGAGCTGTCCCAAGGCAAGACTTCTGAAAAACGTATTCACAGAGGCTTTCACGGCCAGGATCCAATGGCTGTTGTGGGTTTTCCGGGCTGTTTGGCTGTGTTCTTAAGGTTTTTCTTCCTAATGTTTCTGTCTGTGCTCTGACTCCTGTCCTCCAAAGATGCCAGCCACACAGACTGGTGAAATGTTAGGAATAAAAACCTTAAGAACATGGTCAAACAGCCCAGCAAACCCAAAATATCCACTTCTGAAAAAATTCAGAAGGATAGGAAGAAGGTCTAGGAAGCTGTAATGAATATAAGAATTTTTGGCCTCATTACAGTGATGTACATCAGTGGGTTGTTGTTTTTTTCATCCCTTTTGCCCTGGTCATTCAGTTTATATCCAAGTATTGATTCTGATTCTCTGAATGTGAATCCTGCAGAAGTAAATTGGGAGCTTTATATCTCTCTAGAAGTCTGATCAGAGCAGAAAACCTGGAAATGCCTACTGTATACATTCTGCAATGCTGCTGAAATGAAATGGCAAATTCAAAAGGCACATACTGGCAGACAAAAAATGGGAAGAACAGAAAGTGCATCCGTATGGTGATCCCATTGAAATTCAGTGTGATTTCATTTGCATGAGAACTCGAACAAGTGTTGCCAACTTTTAAAGGATCAGTCTGTTTAAACAGCTCCGACAGGAGCAATGCTAAAATAATTGCTTCTGAGCAGGGATGTTTCCAGAGAAATTACTGCTGAAGACACATATAATTTTTCCCACAAAAAAGTAATATTTATAACCTTGTGGAAGGTGAATATACCTACAAGCTAGAAAGTGGAAACCATCATGGGAGAGTGTGGAAGGGACCTCTTTGCTTTCTCTCAAGTGCAATAGTTAATTTATTTCTACTTCTATTTCTTTTAGGTGAGCAGAATTCAGAAATGGCTCAGGAGAATGGGTTATAGAAACCTTCCAGCCTTGATTGATTGTGTTAGAAGTCTGTTTTCACATTTCAGCTTTCCACCATTTCCTTAATGTAGGAACACATCACTGCCAACATAATTAACTCCTAGGAAAATTCAGTCTCAGTTAAGGTGAACATTTGCCAGTTTGGTACCCCAGCAGGGGAATGATCAACAGGGCCATAAGTACATCATTCCATCCTCCATCAGCATAACAGTCCTGGTTAACTCAAAGTTACTTTCTTCTAACTATTGGATGTGGAATAGGATCCCGCTCCCTGAATGACAGTTCCTACCTGGAATATATATATAAAACCCTCTTTACTTACAATTGCTTAAAATTAAAGACTTGTGTATGCAGTGTTTTTTTTTACTGCACGTATAGATGGCAACCAACTGCAAACAAACAACTGCCACCAAGAGAGGAAAGAGAGGGAAAGGCACACTTGGCAGAGAGGTGGGTCTGTCCTTGAATACAAAGGCTGGAAAGAACAATTGGTTAGTGGAGGATAGATAGACAATGACCCCAGCTCAGAAAAGTCCCTCCTAGATAAACCAACTACAAGCAGCATGTGAGGTTGCAAAGAAAACTCTAACAAATTGTGATGCAAGGCAAGTAATGCAGAGCTGAGAACTAGGCCAGTGTAAACAACTAAGCCTACATTGAGATTTCACTCTTCCTATCTATTCGGTCTTTATTGTGGCAACTTAAATTTGTGGGCTCGCATCCAGATTACATTTTCAGAATCTTTGAAATGAAGTTTACAGAGGAATTTTTTTCCTTCCTTCTTTGAATCAGCCTCCATAATTTGTATTACCCTTTGTGATGTAGGATTCAACACATGCATAACGTCACTAAAATGAGCAGACTTGTTCATAAACAAAATGTAGACAGAAGAGAAAAAGACAATGATTCAGCGTTAATGATGAATTTCTCAGGTTGTGTTAAAGTGAGCCAAACTCACAGAGGGTTGTGTGTGTTTTTTTTAAATGTGTGTATTTATTATACTTCAGTTTGATTAATGACCAGGCTACATTTTAGAGAAGATTAATAATATCAGAGATGAAAGGCCATTTTTAAAAATTAGTCCTCTTCTTAGTATAAAGAGGATTTGGATGCATTTAGATAATTAACGGGAAAAGAGTGGCTCCATTTTATATTATCGTCTCTGCATAACTGTTCTTTAGTCAATATGGTAAGAATTAAGCCCATGACATCCATCTCCTGACTGAAAACCATTTGTCTCCAACTTTGAACTGCAGTGTGGCCAAGAAAAGCTGGTGGAGCTGGTGAAGACTCCAGACTATCCTGTAATGAAGAGGAATTTACTTCATAGCCCCTTGCTACACTAAATCAGAAAGTCAACAGCAAAAAGGTGAAATACTGAAACACAGATATCACAGACCTGAAGGGATGATTCCGAAATTCTGCTCTGAGTGCTGGAAATAATTGCTTATAGAACACAGGATATAATTGCCTTTCCTTCATTGATTAGTTCATCTAAATCAACCACCTTCAGATGAACTAGAAGGCAGTATATTCAGTAGCAGAGTCCGAAAGCCCAAAGAAAGGAATAGTCAGTTTAAAGCAGGGAATAAAGGACCAATTTTCTATATTTCATTGGTATATCTTAAACTACTTGTGATACATTATTTTTAAAACTCATTTTTAAAAAAGATTTAAATAAATTTCCTTGCTGAAGGGTGTGGGGGAATGGGCTTCCCAATGAGTCCATGTGCAGTATGATCAGCTAGCCCAAGAAAGGTAACCATATAAGAAAGCATTATTTTGTATTTAATAAGGATTTTACCATTAGGAGTGTTTCATATTGCTTCCCCATCTGCTTTTGCTCACTCTACAATTAGTGCTGAATTCAATATTGTTACAATACATTATGAGAAAAAGTCACCGAAGACTCATAGCAGGCAGCTGCCCTGAAGGCCCTTACTTGGATGTAGATTCCTGGAAAATGTCCATGACATATTTATGTAGATGGGTGCATATTCTCCCTTCATACTTTACACTAGCATTGGGGAAACTTCAGCTCTCTGAAAGCTGATGAACTGCTGCTCTCATCACACTTCATGCTTGGTCAAACTAACTAAGAACTAAAATTCAGAAACAACTAGAGGACTGCAGGTTCCTCAGCCTTCCTTTACAAGGCAAAGTTTACAGTGTTCACTCTGGTAAATATCAGACATGTGCCACATAAAATGTCAAAGAATCCCTGAGTTTTGCTCATTTGTAGTGATTGTTCTAAGTTGGAATTTTTAAGCCATTTCCAGACTGTCTGATTCCATTTTCTCCTTTTTAATTATTCTGCATGAAAGATGGTACAGTGAGGCAGTGACCCTCTATTCTTTGCAGAATGCAACATCTTGAGCTTGTGGTTAACACATTTTACAAGAGTTATATTATTTTCCTTGTGCCGTGTTCTGCTTTCCTGCTCACTTTTTGACATTGTTGGTTGTGTACTGTGCAGTACGGCAAGGTATTATGCTTGGGAAGGGAAAAAACATTAAACAATTTCCAGATATTGAGCATGGAGTTTTTTTTTAAAAAAATCACTCCTCTGGGAATCAATTTATTTTCTCAAAATATACAGATTAGTGCAATACTGTATTTGTTGTAATCCATGCAGTGTTAAAGATAGCAGGCTTGTGTTCTGGAAGACAAAGAGAAAATTAAGAATTTTTCTGTACAGTACAGGTTCATGATGGTGGTGGCATGCAACTATTTCAAAGCTAAAAGATAAGAGAGAGGGAGGGAGGGAGAAAGGCATTCAATGTTTTAATTTACACAGATATCATTGATATCAACAGTTGTTAACAAATGTCTACTCATTCTGAAAGATGTGAGTTCATTGCCTTCTGTTAAACAGTAAAATAGAACATAATTGAAGTAGGTAGTAGACAACAAAAGTATATTTGACAAAAGGAGCACAATGCCACCAAGTGAAAATACTTCTACATTTTTCACCTCAATTTCAAAGGGAGAGTTAAGAACATGCTATCAATTCCCATTGCAAACAACTGGATTTAACACTGTTATATTAATACATAACGTTTTATTCTCTCAGAATTGCATTTTGTTGCAGGATCGCCACACAATTCTATGATACAGTATTGGCATCTGAAGCTTTGTAAACAAAGCAAAAGAGAAAGGTTGGTTACAAATCAAATGAAATAAACAATCAGTGTCCCCAGGTTTCAGCCACTTGCCAGGTAAGGAATCTTCTTACAGACAAAAAAACAGCTTCACCAAAAGTCTCTTCCCCCCCCCCATCTACTATATTTCTCCATTGGAATGTATTTTTTCCAGGCCAACATAATGTTTCTGGACGTAATGATGCCACTTTGTCTATGAACCATGATGGAAAGAAGAAGAAATAGTATACATTGGTTGTCAATGGTTATCCCCATTATTGGGGGTTTAGGAGGATTCTCAGTGGATTCAGGAAATACAAGAAGTGTAAAACCTAACACTACCCCAAAGCTGTCCCAACAGGATACTAAACCCAATTTGAAAGCTCACTTCCTTCCCAGAGAGTTATGTAGATTTGGGCGATGGGAATGGCATCAAATCAGAACTGACTTACAGTGATCCTGATAGGGTTGTCAAAGTAAGATTTAAGGAATCATCTTACCAGTTCAACTCCCCCAGTGAGTTTTCATGGCTCAGCAGAAATTTGAACCCAGGCCTCCTGTGTCCTAGTCTGACACTGTCCGCTACACCACACTGGTTATCCATAGATAGGGTAGATTAGCTTTATCATTTCCTGGTGTGTTTTCTGCCTGAATGCTTGAAAGTCTGTCTACACTTTGCTCCTTTCTGAAAGGCTGCTTCTTGTAACCATTTGGAATGTTTTACCCCTTATCCTTTTGAATTGCTCTCCTTCACAGGTTGCTGTCCTCTGAAGATGCCGGCCACAGAGACTGGTGAAACGTTAGGAAGAACAACCTTCAGAACACGGCCAAAGAGCCCGAAAAACCCAGATCAACCATTAGATCCCGGCCGTGCAAGCCTTCACGGATATATTGTTCTCCTTATGTTCCTTCGCCCCTTTTTAGTAAATTATAGAAATCCTTTCAGGCAAGTTGTTTCATTTTGACTGAGAGGGTTGAAGGTGCTAAAACCAGTCCTAGCCTCATCCAGCTACTGGGATTTTTTGTGGTGTTTGTGTGTGGGAGTGTAGGTAGCATCCTTGCAAGATTGGCACACTTGTTCTCAGTGTCTAGTCTTGGGAATTCCCTTTTTGTGTTAAACTCTCCAGGTCACCTTGGAATCTGGACGTCTAAACAGGTGTTCAGGCAGTGAGAAGGTTCCAGTCCAAACCTCCGTGGTCCCCATCACATGGGACTCTTCTGGGTGCTTTAACCCCAGGATAAGTAAGACTAGTGCAGCTGAGTGACTCTAGGAAGAAGGATGGGGGGCTTCACTACGTGGTAGTCTCCTGGGCTTTTTGAGGTTGGTGTGTATTCAGCAATTCAGTTGCCATCTCCTCTTCCCTTCCACCTCTTCATCCAGAAAAAAAATCCTCACCTTGAGGAAGGGGAAACTATAGCTCCTGTGATCACTCACCATTGGCTAAGTTGGACAGGGCTGATAGGAGTTCTAATCTGTCAATATATAATTAATAAGTGCATGCTATCAAATTGATTCTGAATTATGGTGACCTTTTCCAGGCAGAGGCTACTTGGAAGAGGTTGACCCTTCCCTTCTTCTGGGGCAACCTAGGACTGTGCAGCTTGCCCAAGGCCAGACTGGCTGGCTCTTTTCACAGGAGGGAATTTCCAACCTCTGGCTCTGCAGCCAGATTCATAAACCACTGAGCTATCCAGCTAGCTAAGCCACCAATATATTTCCAATATATGGAAAGTAAACATTGGCTCATTCCTTCTCAGTCTAAGGGCTATGGTCAAGCTCATGAGGCTTTTGCATATGTTTTTTATCACAGCCCTGTGAGTTAACTGATCATGGTCATCTAGTGAGCTTCATGACTCAGGGAAATAGGAACTCACTTTTAAGTAAACTCCTCTGAATTTCTCCTTCTGGAACTCAGAACCGCACAACTTTGGCCAGATTGTGCTCCCTGTTTTATTTCTGGATGACATGTAAATGTATGGTTTTGTGATGCCACGTCCTACTTCCGTATGTAGCATCTAATTTCTTTATTTTGCAATGGCTCACACTCACACTTATCCGGATGTGCAAGCCTAAACACTGTAACAGCAGAGCAGCGTGTGGTTGCTTAATGAGATGACTCTGTTTACACGGAAGAGCAAAGGTGACAAGAAGAAAAATGTCCTGATTGTCACTTGTTGAAGCTGAAATATCATATTTCTGCACACCAAATTATGCTTTCTGTAGTGCATTAAAGGTCAATGCATACCATATGAGTCACCCACTTCATCTCCATACAGAAACAATATATTTCACATTGCCTGAAATACTGGTGATCTGAATTTAAAAAAAGGATACAAGGGTGGATCCAAACCTGTTAAAAGTTTAGGCACCATCCAGCCTTTAGGTACCAATCATTTTAATGAAAGAACACGTGTTTTTAAAGTGCTTACCTTTCACTAAGTTCCCCTCCCTTCGGTGATTTTTTTGTTGTTATCATCAGGCGTTTCTATATACATTGACCCATAATCTGATTGTATTGTTAGGATGGGAAAAATTGAAAGGCTCCAGGTATTCAAATCAGGTTTTGCCTGGAACTCTCCCGCCAATGGATTAAAACACAGCTTGGGGGGGTGGGGGAGATCACTATTTAAAAAATACAACTCCCAGAACTCTCAGGTAATGGGAGCTGTCCTCAATAAAAATAGTTGTAGTTACAGGAGTAACCATGTTAGTCTGTGCAAGTATTATAGGTAAAAGCAAAATCTCTTTGTCTTAGTTCTGATGAAGTGGCCTTGTTCATGAAAACTCGCATTAAAAAATATATATAAAAGTTAGTCTTTAAGGTGCCGCATTTTTTAAAAAAAACTTTTTATTTCTATTTTGCTTTTATCTATAAAAATATAATCTCTAAACAATGGTTGTGAGGAAATAGAGAAACAGATAAACAACATTAGGTTCTCAGTGTTGAAAAGGGGAGGGGGCTTCCATTAACTGCTTTGTGTTTAGTTTTTTTAAAAAACATTATACATTTCTGAAAATTACCTTTAGTTTTTTTCAAATATAGAAACCAAACAGCTTATTTCTTTTTCCCTTCAACAAAGAAACTTGTGATTTCATAGATGAGAGATTTTGAGAAAACTGCTGGATTTTTAATGACAATATTTGCATCTCAATTGTTAATTTTAAATTATGTCAAATTAACATGTCATGAACCAATTTATTTTAAAGAGTGTTAAAATAATGAGTTGGTTGGTGCTTTGAAATATGGTACTAGTACAGCAATCCGCTGTGAAGGCGGTCCTTGAGATCCATTAGGAAACTCACAATGTAAGAATAAAAGCTTAGGTGTAAATATTCTAAGAAATGGTAAAGGGCTGTCTTGGGGCAAGCAAATCTTTTAGAATAACTGAGCAGAAAAGTTTTGTTTTTGTTTGTTTCTTTGCAAAAGATTTCAACCCTTTTCTCCTCCTTCCAATAACAACTGAGAATATCAATACAATTACTTCAGCTGCAATTACTATTCAAACGATCTTTTAAAAAGTACTTGTCAATTACTGTAGCTAAGTGACTTTAAGTTGCCTCCAACTTTTGCCAGTCCTATGAAAGAGTAAATTCTGAAATGTCTTTTTCAAAACAGCTGTGAAAATTTGTTTGTTTAAAACATTTTACCCTACCTTTCTCCAAAAAAAAAAAAAGGATCTATGGTGGTTTAGATCATTAAAAACAGAATTAAAAGCTGTATTCGCGAAGGCTTCCACGGCCAGGATCTAATGGTTGTTGTGGGGTTTTGGGGTTCTTTGGCCGGGTTCTGAGGGTTGTTCTTCCTAACGTTTCGCCAGTCTCTGTGGCCGGCATCTTCAGAGGACAGCACTCTGATGCACCCGGAAAACCCACAACAACGAGAACTAAAAGCTCTTTGCCTGGCCCCTTCACTGGGTATTTTCAAGAAACAGCTGGTTCTTTTGACAGGCATTTAAAAATATTCCACCTACAGCAGCGGTCCCCAACCATTTTCGGACCGTGGACTGGCTGAGACTCTGAGAGAGGCAGGGCACACCCTCGCGCTTGCACGGGTGCATGCGCAAAACAGTGGGGGAGTGCCTGACAGCACCAGTGTGAGCCCTCCCCCACCCCTTCGTGCATGCACAGGAGTGCTTGCCTGCCAGCGCCCACCCCTTTGCGCAGACGCCTGCACGCACGTGTGAAGGGGTGGGGGAGTGTTCATGCCAGCGCTGGCACACGTGTGTGTGCGCAAAGCAGCTGTGGGGAGGGGAGTGCGTGGGGGGCAGGAGGTCTGTCTTTGCGGCCCAGTCCGGCTCATCCACAGACTGGCACCGGGCCATGGACTGGACGTTTACAACCTCTGATCTGCAGAGCTTACCTAAATTGCTGCTAAAGATGAAATACTATAAGATTACCTCCAATTTAATTGTTTAGTTGCCATGTAGTGTACTGTGGTATACCGTTTAAAGGTTCGATTGTTTTTATTGTATAAATCATAGATGTGCTGTTCCTATGATTTATAATTTTGATTTGCTTTTTTAAAATGTTGTAAACTGCCCAGAGTGGCCTTAGAACAGATGGGGAGTATAGAAAGAAAGAAAGAAAGAAAGAAAGAAAGAAAGAAAGAAAGAAAGAAAGAAAGAAAGAAAGAAAGAAAGAAAGAAAGAAAGACGGACGGACGGACGGACGGACGGACGGACGGACGGACGGACGGACGGACGGACGGACGGACGGACGGACGGACGGACGGACGGACGGACGGACGGACGGACGGACGGACGGACGGACGGACGGACGGACGGACGGACGGACGGACAGACAGACAGACAGACAGACAGACAGACAGACAGATAGATAGATAGATAGATAGATAGATAGATAGATAGATAGATAGATAGATAGATAGATAGATAGATAGATAGATAGATAGATAGAATTAATAACATTAAACTAAAATGTTAGGTAAACATATTATGAAAACAGATTTAAAAGCAATAAAATATAAACTAGTTTATTAATAAGGAAAAGATTGCCTGACGAGAAAGGTATTTGCCTGCTTGCGGAAGGACAACAAAGATGGGGCCTGTCTAGCCTCTTGGGGGAGGGAGTTCCAAAGTCTGAGAACAGCAACAGAGAAGGCCCTCTCCTGTGGGACCAAGAGAAATGCCTAGCTGTCCACAGTTCTTCTGGTTCATGGTCAATAGAGTTTAGTAAGGCAAAATCTGTTCTTTATGTGATTTTAAATTAATCAGGAATGTTGTGTATATTATGTCACTAAAATTATTTTAGTGTTCCTTTGCAGATTTACTCTATTAACAGTTCATGATCAGTAGTCTATTTGATTTCTATACTGACCATCAGGTGATGTCCATGTGTACAGCCATCTGTTCAGTTGCTTGAAGCATGTACTTTGCAATAAACAGATTACTGGCATTGCAGAACTCAAGAGTTGTTTCCTTGATTCGTTTCTGTCCTCTAGACCAAATTTTCCAACAACATTTGATTCTGCTTTGTTCCCTACTTTTGCATTCCATTCACTTAAGACTATAAAGCACATATTGTTCTGGCATGTGATCAATTTCCTCTTGAATGCTTGCACAAAATATTTCAATTTCATCTTCTTCAGCATTAGCAGTTGGAGCATAGATTTCAATTATGGTTATGTTGATAGATTTTCCACGGAGTCCAGTTGGTATTAAGCAATCAGATATTGCATTACAGACCCCAACTGCCTGTGCTATGTCTTTCATCAGTGTTAAAGTCACTTCATTTCTTTTGATTTTATCATTCACAGAGTAGAAAACTTTGTAGTTGTCTGACTGAAAATCTTTCATTCCAGTCCATTTTAGTTCACTGACACAGAGTACTGTAATGTTTAAACGTTCCATTTACAATTTCCAGTTTACTTTGTTTCATACTTCTTATGTTCCATATGTGTGTGTGTGTGTTGTGCAGCAATCGACTTTCCTTTCAGCTCTATGCATTTCAGCCACTAGACGTCATTTTGGCTTTAATCTAGTTGCATAATTACCGACAGCACTATTCATATGTATTTGTGAAGGCTTTCGTGGCCGGGATCCAATGGTTGTTGTGGGTTTTAAGGGCTCTTTGGCCGTGTTCTGAAGGTTGTTCTTCCTGATGTTTCGCCAGTCTCTGTGGCCGGCATCTTCCTACTCTGGAGATGCCGGCCACAGAGACTGGCGAAACGTCAGAACATGGCCAAAGAGCCTGAAAAACCCACAACAACCGGCACTATTCATACTTGTCCTTTTTTCTTTCCCAGTAGCTGATTAAGTGCTTTCCAAATGGGAGGTGTGTGGGAAACTCCTGCCTAAAGGTTGTAGCTGCATTCTGATGTGCATACATACACTCCTGGCAGGAAGCAGCAGCTGCCAGCAGGTGGGTAGCCCCTTCCTCTCCCCCTTCGCTTAGAGGTAGAGCATAAGATCAAAGGCTTATTTTAGCCAATCCTAGTTAGGTAACTAGTATCCTAACTAGTATCCTATCTGTTTCTCTCATAACATACTATGTAATGATGCTAAGTCAATACAAAGAGCCCTCAGGGCGCTGGCTGGGACATTTCCTGTCGACTCCTTTGTTCTCTCTCTAAGGCAATTAGCCTTTCCTTTGTTCCATGATCAACCACAGAGGTGTTACTATCTCTTGTTTCATTCTGGAGTGTCTCATCAAAAGGTCTGAAGGTGAGAAAAATTCATGATTTACCATTGCTTTGTTCTGCTTAGTACTAACAAAAGTTAGCTTAAGTGTTGCTGCCTTTGTCTGTGAAAGATCCTCCACAGTGACACCTTCAGTTACTGCTAGCCAATAGTTGCGCTCCAGAGGTTTTTCTGCTCCCCATCACCATTGGAACTACAGTACCTATTCTCTTCTGCTTATGTGTCTGTTATCCCTGAATAAGGTAGATGCATCTTACTCTGTTGCCTTAGTTGTGAACATTCCACCTTGAGTGACCCTGCTAGGAGTCCAGATTTGTAACGGAGTCTAGCCTCCTGACAGAACTGTCTTGGCTACCCTGACATCCTCACACCCCCTCACCATATTAAGTTGTGACTCCAAGAGGCACAGTGCATTCATCAACCATAGATAAAACCATTTAAAAGCAAGGCAAAGCGTGCTGCTTATATACTGCCCCATAGTGCTTCAAGCACTCTCTGGGCGGTTTACAAGTTAATTATGCAGGCTACACATTGCCCCCCCCCCCCAGCAAGCTGAGTACTCATTTTACCGACCTCGGAAGGATAGAAGGCTGAGTCAACCTTGAGCCGGCTACCTGGGATTGAACCCCGGGTCGTGAGCACAGTTGTGGCTGCAGTACAGCGGTTTAACCACTGCGCCACGAGGCTCCTTTAAATGCATTTCGTATCTGTCATTATTTTCTGCTATGAAAATACCCAGCAGTTTATTATATGTTCTCTTCCAAGTTACTACATGGCCATTTCTACCTGTGGTTTGTTTGTTTGTTTTAATTTCAGGAGTGTTACATCTGGTATGGTTTTGAAAGAATCTAACACTTCCCAATAATCCCTGATGTTGGTCTGATATTACCCAAAATCTTTTTCCTACCTAAGCAAGATGTGCCAACTTTCCCCAGAAAATGTTTAAGGACTGGTGTACACTCACCCAGCACAAGAGGGACACTGATCAAGAAAATACTGCCCTCATAGGTGACTGTGCACTTCCATCATTTAGGCCGAGCTAACTGGCTGTGCAGCCTTGTGGCATGATTCATAACATCATGGGTGTTGTGCTAATATTGGTGGCTGGGAAGGAATTAATTAAAATTTATTCTAGCTCTTTGTAGACCCCAATAGTATTTGGAAGTACCTATGAAATATGTTCCCCCGCCTCAGTATATTCTATCTTACCTCAAGGTTATCAAGCCTTTTTTCTCCCCTTGGTAGATATTGGCAATAAAGAAATGGTCTTCTGAAGCTTGGAAAACAAGGAAATCTAAAGAAAAGGAATCCAACTTTGCCTATTGAACATTAGTGTAATAAAGATGAATCTGCCAAGTAACCATAAAATAAGTTATCAGATATCTAACAACTTGCATTGAATTCTGCTTACCATCTGAAAGCACTGAAACTCTTGGACAGCAGGTCTAATTTTCAGTTCCTCATATGTAGTGGCAAACATCAGCAGATATCATCTACAACTTCTGTGCTCTAAAATAATATCTGGCGAAGAATGAAAAATGATCCTCTGTTTAGTGTCTTGGGTCAAAAGCGGCTATGATCAGTAATACACCTGATCAGAATTCATGTAGTGTATAATTGCAACAATAAAATCTGCTTTATTGGGGGGGGGGAATCCAAACTGTTATGATTACAGAAATAATTGGCTTGTATGCTCTCTGGAATGTTAATGCATCTTTTCTCTGATATTTTTTTCAAACAGCAAAATAAAAAAAAAGCATCCTGCAGCTAACCAAATGAACTTTAAAGGGAGTGACATTGACAGATTTAGCAAAGCCCTCTCTAAACGCTGTGTTCCCTTTGCAGAATTTAGCAGAGATGAGCAAGCTACAAAATAATTCCCATGTTAGGTGAATGATATTTGTTGAGAAGCAAACTTCTCTCCACCCCCCTCTGAATACCTAAAAACTGACTGCTTAACAGCTCAACATAAATGGAAATACAGTCAAACAGGAACAGAAAACAGGAGAGAAGAAAACTGCTCATGCAACTTCAACAAAAAGCAAGCTTTTTCCAGTGATTATACAGCATGGTTGTTCCTGCAGTTATTGGTTATTTTCACTCTTGCCTATTTCTGTGCCTTTCTGATTGGTCTAATGAAGTTATAGCCCAGCATGGATTTAGGAATTTGTCACACTGGCCAGCATGGTCACCTCTGCTTTTTCTTCCTTCAGAATGTTTATTTTATTTAGTTGCCTCTCTTGCAACAGCCAGCATGAATGAAAGAGGCAAGAACATAAAACAAGAGACTCTAAACGGAATATAGATGGCCAAATGCCCATTTACAGTAATGGATACATGTGTCTGATCAGTAAAAACAAATAAGTAGGAAGCCAGCGACAAGTGTGAATGGCCTGTTAAGTTCATGCATCAGAACTGAATTGCAGAAACAAGATAACACTCAGGCCACAAACAGAGGTTAGAAGCAGACCTTAACTAATGAAAAAGCCTGAGTGTCACAACTTCTGTCACCTGTGGGATTATGCAGATCAGCTTGCTTCCTTTGGTGACAAGTCTTCAGGTCTTAAGCAGATGATTCCTTTGAAGTCTGATTTCACAGACATTGCCTTAAACACCTCTCTGCAACATTAACGTGCTTTCAGCTCTAATTACAGGCTATCATTAAGATCTGATTCTGGCCCCAGTAACCTCAACAGAGCAACAACGAACCCAGGAAACTGAGAAACAGAAATGGAAAGGTTGGAAGGAAAATGTCATGCAAAGTGGAAGCTATGAACTGGATGGCTCATCTCCAGGGTGTCACGGTGATAACAGCAGTGAAATGCCAGCTCACAGAAGAAGAAGAAGAAGAAAAAGGGGGGAGATATTCGAAATATAATAATGGTGGAACAAAAATAACAGAGTAGAAATATTTTGTTATAATATTAACATAATAATGAGCAGGGCTAAGTGAAGTACAGTGGGGTCTCTACTTAAGAACGTCCCTACTTAAGAACAATCCAACTTAAGAACAGCTCCATTTGCTAAATTTTGCTTCTACTTGAGAACAGAAATCCAAGATAAGAACAGGAAAAAAAACCTTTCCTGCTCTTTTTTAAAGGTCATCTTAGGTTAAAAAAAATTCTCCCCCTAGTGGTAGAGTACGTATTAACCAGCTTTGCATTAGTTCCTATGGGAACTAATCCTTCAATGTACGAACGCACCTCTACATAACAAAGCAAAAAAAAAAATAGCCAGAACGGATTAATTGGTTTTCAGTCCATTCCTATGGGAAATTTTGCTTCAACTTAAGAACGTTTCAACTTAAGAACACCATTCCAAAACGGATTAAGTTCTTAAGTAGAGGTTCCATTGTAGTTTCTATGGACGGAAAAGAGCAGATACGGATTAAATTGTTTTCAATGCATTCCTATGGGAAATGCAGATTCAGCATAAGAACTTTTCAACTTGAGAACCACCTTCCAATACGGATTAAGTTCTTAAGTAGAGACCCCACTGTACTGACACTTTTGGCTAGTTAATAGTCATCCAATGTGGTGTAGTAATAGGTAGAACGTTAGACCAAGCAGATCAGCACTCAAATCTTCAGTCAGCCTGGCACTGTCTGTGACCCTAAGCCACCTTGTAGGATTGCTGTGAGGTTAAAATGTGTGTGTAGGTAAGTAGGGGTCAAAATAAAATGTTGCATGTATGATGTATCCCGAGTTCGCTGGTGGAGAGATAAAAAATATAATGAACACGATGAATAAATTCCAGCATCTCTTGCATGTTATTAATGTTCTTACAAGTCACTGAATGCAGATTTAAAAATATATATGTTACATTTTTTGCCCAGCAGTTTTCTGTCATACATGTAATGCTTTCCAGTTTTGGCTGAAGTGATAACAGAACTTGTTTTAACTGCTGCAAGTAGAAGTTACAAATGCTGTGCCATTTATGCTCGACATTTTTCTGGAACTATGTGCATTAAGTATTTCTTTTTTTAAAAAAAAAACAGCAGGCATGATATTTCGTGGTGCCTTTCTTATACATTCAACAATGCTTCCCTTTATTATGCAGCAATCAGTGATTAGGATTTTTCTACTTTGGCCTCAAGCTGAGATCCATGGCCTATTTGTAATTTCATTTTACATGGAGACATCTGTTCTATATTCTTCTTGAGATAAATGCATCCACATATACAGTATATGTCATAGCCATGAAGCCCACTAAGTGATCTTGAACCACTCACTCTCTCAGGGTTGTTATGAGAAGGATGAAATCAGGGTGATGGGATTCACCACCTGGAACTCACTAGAGGAAAGTCAGGATATCAGTGTAATAAATAAACTTGCATTTCACTTTCTCCAATAAAATGACAATTGGACAATAAATTGACCAATGCCGAGAGCAGTCTTTACACTCCTTTGTTAACTATTAAAACAAGCAATGACTCTGAACAGCCAGCCCGCTATTCATTTCATTCGTTCCCAGTGAAAACTCTCAGTATCTTCAGCACCACCACTACCGCCCTGAACACACCGATCTCAGAAACCAAGTAGGATTAGGCTTGGATAGAACCTAGATGAGAGGCTGCCCAGAAATAGTAGGCATCTCCATGTAGGTCTAGGAAAGAATCCTGCCCAGAACACTGGAAAGCTACTGCCAGTCACTGTTGACAATATTGGGCTAGGTGGACCCATGTTCCCACTCAGTATATGGCAGCAATACCACCTTGTGCCCTGTTTCTAAGGTAAAGTTACCATCTTCATTCCTACAACCTCCTCCTCCCCAGCGTCCTGATGTCATCCCAAATGACATTTCTTCTGACTGTGACACATTCTTTCTCCTTCCATCTGCCCCCAATAATTTCAGATGCAGAGTTTGCTCTGCATGAGCCCACCATCTTCACCTGCACGCCCAGAAGCTCTCCTTTTGTCATATGAACTGCTCACTCTACCGCCAGGAGCCTTCACTTTTTGTACCCGGTCCCCTGAATATGTTACAGCTGGTTCATTCATTTCCCGGAAATTGTTTCTGAGAGACTGCATTCAGTCTGCAGGGGTGGCTGATTATTCCAGCTCATCCTTCCACAAAGGGGCACACCCGTGCCCCGGACACTGTATGGAGCAGCCCCCTGGCTGGGCTCTGCCTCCATGACGTCAGAGCGTTGCCCATCCCCTCCAGTCATGCCACGTTTCTGACCCAGTCAGTCCTTCTGCTCTTGCCCTTCCCTTTTGCCCGATACCCACGTTGTCGCTTTGGACACGGTTATCTTATCCTCAGATCACTCTCCATTCCGTTCCGTCACCATTCTGTTCTGCCCTCAGAGGCCAGCCCCCTGTAATCCAGGTGGTCTCGTTGCACACCAGTCGTGCTCACATAAGACAGTGTCGATCCACAGGAATCCCTCCCCCGCCGCGCCGCCCCCCCCCC